ACTGCACTTCAATGCAATGTCAATCTATAAAATGAAGTCCATTTTTGTTTTACATTATGGTATTGAAAAAAAAGGTGTAAATTAACATATTTTCTAATAAATTTTTATTTTTAATAAAGTTTTGAAAAACAGACTGGATGGAATATTTTTCATTCACATTTTCTTATATGATTGTTCTCTTTCATATGAATCTAAATTAACAATGCAGTAATAATGTCGAAGGATTTTTTCAATGCTGTTTATTATTTTATGCAACGCCTAGTTTGGGTATGTGAAAGATTGAAAAAGAGAGAAATCTCGTGTTTGACTGATGAGTGTAAATTTTGAGAGTGATGCAGATAAACACCAGGAAGGATAAACAATATATTCTGATAACAGTACTTACAGCTAAGTTCTCATCAAAGAACAGTTACTTTTGCTGATTTTTTTTTTATTGAAACACTGATATAGATATATGCGAAACATCCCGAGGAAAATTGGAGGGTTGATTGAAGTTCTTTAATTGCAAACTAATTAATTTTGCTTTTAAATGAAAATATGTGTCCTACAATACATTGCATTGTAATGCTTGATGTACTGTCTAATTAAAACATACTTGGTCAATTTTTATTATAAGGCAAAACTGAAAAAAATATAAACTTTCCTGTTTGACTGATGAGTGAATATTTTGAGACTCAAACAAAGCGCCGATGACTATGTAGAACAATCAAAGACGCTTTTCAATACTGTTTAGCAGTACTTGTTTAGTGAGATAAGCTCACACTAAGTCCTTTACACGCGACATTACCGTTATTTCCTCTGACTTTAACACATGGTCATTTGTGAATGTCTCTCTAACGTCTTATATAGTATACAAGCCTGTTACTCGTTAGCATCGCTTAAACATTTACATAATATAAAGCAGAAATCAATGATCGTTTTGTCTACGTCGTTCAAAGGGACATAATTTGAGTTATCGAACTTACATTATGCAAATTTCCAAATAAACATTCAATCACAAGGACAAATTGTATATAAAAGCTATCTTTGGAGGGTTGATGGTGGGGGATATTTCTAATACATTCACAAGTAAAATATTTGTGCTTGTTTAAGTAAAATATTTGGGCTTGTTTAAATACAAGTAGAATTGCACCATACTGCACTCTGCTGCAATACAATGCGATACATTGTGATGCCTGCCAAATTGTCCAATCAAAAGTAACTTAGTCTATTTATTTTAATTGAATTTAAAAACTGATTGAATACACACACTTTTTTTTTCATTTTATGCTTTGGAAAAAAAAGGTTTCAAAAACAGACTAGAGAGCATTTCTTTTATTCTCATATTCTGAAATATTTGTTTTCTTTGATATGAATCAAAATTAACAATCAGTAAATAAGTCGTAAAACTTTCGCAAAGTTACGTGTTGCTTTTTTTTTTTTTTTTTTTTTTTTTTTTTTTTTTTTTTTTTAATCGAATGACTAGTTTGGGTATGCGCAAAAGACCCCAAAGAAATGAACACTCCTTTTTGCCTGATGAGTGGATTTTTTTGTTTGCAAGGCTGTTCATACCAATTGTTATACCTTTGTTTTTATACTGAATTTGAGTACGGAATATTCCGCCCACCTGATCAATACATAGGGCTCACAGCGGGTGTGACCGGTTAACAGGGCATGCTTACTCCTCTTGGGCACCTGATCTCACCTCTGGAATTTCCGGAGGTCCTTGTTTTATGCCCTGTTCACAGATTTGTATTGTTTGTAGATTTCTGAGATCGATCATTGTTTGTAATCTTCACCATTTTTTATGTCATTCCTATTCTAGCAAGTTTGAAAACGCATTCAAACAAAATATATCTTAATGTAGTTTGCATCTAGGTCTTAATTCAGATTTTTGTGTCCTAAAATTCGCCCTTAATTTTGTGATATAAAGGTTCTGAACAATTAACCTGGTTTAAGATATGCAAACAATTAATTAATGTTTTTCTTAAAATCTCATTGTATACACTGAGGGAAACACGAAATGAGACGCAACAAAACAATCATCTTTTTACTTGATATCCACTTTATATACTTTTTCGACATCAATATATAAAAGGGTTGAAATAACTTAATGCAATGGATGCAATTTAAAAATCAAAGAGAAATGTTGTACAACAAGAGAATTAAATAGGCTGTCTTTAGAATTGTTCTGCAGAAAACCCATTTTATGTATGTGTCTAACCACATCGTCTGCATGCAATTTTGAATTGCAGTAAGGTATATATGCTCCAGAATCCTGCGGGTGGAGAGCCGGTTGGATCCCTTCATCAGGTCATAAACACAGGACGTAAATTGGAATATTGGAAATATTTCATTGTGTAGGAATTGTTATATATATTTTCAACTTCAAAACTCATGTACAAGAATGGATATATATAGTTTTCAATACAATAGATATAGTTCTGTATTCTTAACAAATCACCCTTAATCGATCACATGTATTTGGGTAGATCCAAGATTTCTTCTGTAAGTGGGTCCAACCAAATGTGTATACACTAAAAGAAAAGTTGACAGGCGAAAAGGGGGGTTGGGGGTTGGGTGGGTAAGAAAACCGTCCAAACATAAAAAAAAAACTATATCATGTGTTTGTGTGTGAATAGGTAATAGAGGATGTATGTATGTGTGTTGGGGGGGGGGCTTCTCAAGGAAAAACCACTTTACTTTATATGTAACAAATTAGGAGCGTCCTTGTTTCCAGGGAGGGAGGAGGTCCAAGGTCAGTTTGTCTATTTTACCATATAAAATTAATAATTCTGAAAATCCCTCGGTGAGGGATTGGATCCCCCTGACCCTGCATCCCCGCTAGATCCGCTACTGGTATAAGATTTGCAAATTATAGTTCAGAATGTTATCAAAAAATTTTCAACATTTATGTATAAAGCTATATTATATTTAATATAATATTTATATAACTGGTCAACAAATCCGTGCATATGTTTGTGTCAAAAATGACATGTAAAATAAATAAAAGATTCGAATTTGGAATTTGAAATGAACTGACCAATTAATATTTTTAATTCTTTAATTTTTGAAATTGAAATGCAAAAATATGACACTATTAATAAAATATTTTGAGTTTCTTTAAGTAACCTATTCTAGATTTGCAATAATATAATTTTCTGAGTTTTTAAAAATAACTTCTAATATGAAATGAACTAAAAAAATATGTTCAAAGCCTTATCTATTATGACTTACATGAAAAGGTTTGGTTAATGATTTAAATCTGAATCTTGATGAAAGTATCATACTTACGGAACGATCTCCAAAACACTCATTGCCACAATTAATGAGCATAACAAAAAAAAAAGATATGCAAACGCATAAAACAGGTACTAAACCACACAAGTATCCCAAGGAGTAGGAAACCTACGTGCAATATTATGCACATAACCCAACCCCCCAACCCACCCACCCCTCCTGCAATATGCATGCAAAGTGGTAGAGAATTTCATTATTTTCAATGAACTACATTGTATATTTGACAATATATTATAGGTTTATATTTTTTCTCTCATCAAAAATATGTCAAGGCCTAACGTCAAATTTTAATATATATAGTAATGTCTACCATTGTACTAGCTTTAAATAAAATATCAATGTCTTGAGCTGTTTCAATTTTTAAAATAAGTGAAATTTTGTCCCTTCACATGGAAAAATTGGCTGGTTGCTAAGGAAACTACTTTGACCATGTTTCCATAGTAACCATGATCCAAAACATTTTTCATTTTACATACATGGATCATAGTGCAAGAGAAATCTATGTATGGAAAATTATCAAATTCTGAGAACCTCGGTGTATCACTTAAATATCACTTTTGTATGATTTTCACACGAACTGGTACTTAATTTCTAACGTCACGTAATCTTACGTCATTTTGACGTTACCGTGCGCGACGTCCTTACAAGTCATTTATATTCTGAATATTTCGGTTTTTATTCATCAAATATTTTCAAAGGCTGCCAAGTGTGTGTATTTAATAGTTTTATTTAAAAATACAAACTCATGGTGAATTTTTCCCCCAAATAATTTAAAAACATGCTTATTTGAAAATTTGACTCAAGTCTGTTCTCAGTTTATAAATGGTCATGAGGCCTGGTTCACCGGGGAAGGGGGGTATACTTACCCCACCACTCCCAAAATATGCAGACGCATTTTATTTCTTGTTTGTTTTGCGCAAATAATTTCTAAAACCCTTTGTATTTCTATTTAAATTGACAGCACCTGGCCCTCCCTCCGCCCCCTCCCTTTCAGAAAAGTTTTAAAACTAAAAAAAAAAAAAAGAAATGATAATAAAAATTAAAAAAAAAAAAATGAAGAAATGGTGGGATACCAAACACTGCTAAATTTATGGATGTGTTGCAGACTGATAGTAACTTTTAAAACAATATGTCTGTTATACATACATTTGAAAATCATGCAAGTTTCAAGTTTCAATTTTTTATTTAAGACAAAGACCCTAACTGGGGTATATGAATACAAATGATACGTACAACAAAATAACATACAAGCATGAAATGAGTGGCACTAATGTTAATTACTATATACATGTATAGTTCAAAACATCAAAGTACTATAGAACTGAGGCCTCTGCTATTATTAAATAAATCTGTATTACAACATATCTTAAACAGTTGTTTTGTTATTATTAATTTATTACTGACTATAAAATTTTGCAAAATTTGGCAAGTCCAAAAATGACTTTAACGTCCTTACAATTTACAGGTCATGAAATTTAATAACATTAGGGTTAGCATAAAAAATATGCGATTTTTGAAACTTTTGAAACTTTTATTTTCACTAAAGCCCCCACATGGGGTATGTTAGTACAAAAAGAGTTTAACAACTGAACAAATCAACATGTGAACAGTTAACATAATGAACCACAAAAAGAACTTTGATATGATGCGATCCATACTATTATGCCTGTGTGTAAAACAAGTTATCTTCCGTAGTACGAGCTCTTCAGTGTTGAAAATCAAATGAGTTGCTGATGCGAGGATGATTCACACGATGTGTGCTTGGTGTCCGATAAACACAAGGGAAAAACCAAAGCACGTTTAATTTTATATGCAGAATCGAGTTAGAGCTTTCATACCAGTTTGTTGGTGATTTGTAGTGCTTTCAAAGTCGTATTCACTCACGATGAGAGGAGAAAGAATAAGTCGAAAACCTCTTGCTCAATGGCGGAGAAAACCCGATCGATCGCTGTGAATTTGGAATATTGTTAATAGATGTCATTATAACGGAAGGTTTTATTCCCAGTAGTGAACCCCCATGTCGCGTCCCCAGGGACGAACCACCCATGGGCACAAGGAGGAACAGTATGTGGGCCCCTACAAGTTGGAGAAGACCCTGGGAAAAGGTCAAACGGGTAGGTTTTCTTTTCTGTGACTAATTAGTATGTGCATCGACAGGTGCTCTATTACCCAGCTAGTTAGGAATCACAGGTGTCTGAATAAATATTCAGTTACCTGTGATAGTAGCGATTCATGTGTTTTAAATTCATAAGTTAGAGAAGACTGACTTGCAATATTACCCAGTTGTCATGCAGTACCCACTTGCACCATATGAAATGTGGTGCCTTTTTAGCTGGGTCGGCAAAATGGGAGGAGGAAACTATTCATCTGTTAATTTCTTGTGACAGATGCAGTATGGGACTCCATTATTGACTTAACCTGTGGAATTTCTCAGTAAAAGATGGCCTGCCTTGGTCAATGAACCTCTCTTAGGATAAAATTACATCAGCATTAGGCAATTAAAGTCTGAGAGGTGACTTTGGAACTTGTATCACATATAAAGCAAGAAATTGATGTGTAACCGAGTTTAGTTGTACTATTCAGGTATGCTCAACATACTCAAAGACGGGAAATTTAGCTCTTTGTTAAAAGAAATATGAGGAATGTTAAATTGACAAAATTATCATCTATTTTCTTCTTTATATTTGTTCTGACTCAAGCTTGACTGTGATTATGTGATTATTTATTAACACAAAGTTTTCTTTCTGAGATCATAAAGATCTGCTACTAAGGTTTGAGTATCGATACACAAAAAACATATCAATATGATATATCAAATTTTGACTTGTGTATCATGATACATATTGATATGTATCACTTTTCATTTTTGTTTTATAAAATGTTACAAATAATAATTTCTGAAAAATTATCATGGTAATAATGTATATTTAAAAAATGTACTTCAATCTACAAATAATACAATTATGAAATATCAATTCTACAAATTTCTATTTCTCAAAAAACATTTTCTAAAGTGGTTAGATGATGTGAATTCTAATTTTCAAACTGTATTGAAAAAACTGGTATTGCAGATTGCTGTAAGGACACCGAGTGCAAGAAATGTATCACGATATACTGTTATACTGGTAAATTGTTACACCTCTACCTGCTACATACTTAAACCTTAAATTTTTCAAAAGTTCAGATTATATTTTTGCATTTGAATATAATATACTTTTTTAAAGGCATTGTAGGCATATCACTCCTTTCCTTATAATTTTGCTGAACTAAAAAATGCCTCTTTTTAGCTCAAATTGAAATATATAATTATAGCGTAAGAGCAATAGACTAGTTAGCTCTATTCTTTTTCGAAGGAAAGAACAGAAGGTAAAATCTTAAGATTCATATATGCTACTAGCAGACAGTAGCAGTGCTTACTCAGTAGGCCAGTTCATCCAATAAACATGAATATCATACATACATGTATAAATATCATCATAAAGGCAGTCTGTTTGTGTATCTGGCAAAGTGCAATGGATGCCAATTTCTCATGTTGACGATAAATATAACTTAGTACAGTTGTTCTTTGTGACTCCTCCATAAAAATATGTTAGATATATATTTATATGTTTATTGTATAGTTATATTACTTGTTTGTATTCTGTATGCAGAGACAAGAACAATACGTAGGAGAGGTTGTCTAAACAATCTCTACATCTTGTTTGGTGGCCTATCTGTCTGTGGTCTAATTAATAATAAGTGTGAATTACTTATAAGAGCTATTAACTGACCAAAAACATGTAGATAAATTGTACAGTGAAACTTGTCTAATCCGGATGTTGTGTATTCCAAAATCTTGTCTAATACAATGTAAACTTCAAGTCCCTTTTAATAAATTCAATTGTTTAAAATGTTGTCTAATCCGAAATGTTGTCTAATCCAGCCAATTTTTGTGGAACAAGTGATGTCCGGAATAGACATGTTTTACTGTATTAGGCATAATAAAAAAAACATATTTGTTTATGGTTACCCAACCAACCCTATATTTAATCACCTTCCCAAATTTTTTTTGTCGTAAAAATATGGAAGTCACTTACCGATCAGTTTGAAATGGAAATCGAAAGTACTAGACTAGAAACAAAATGGCGTGTTTAATATCTACATTAACGTGTTTCAGAGTTTTTTCCCTTATATAACTGGTACCGATAAACGGTACCATTCCCAATGCCAAAAAACGTTAATTTTTCCCAATTTGGAGACTAAAAATTCCCAATTCAACTGTCAAGCAACAGACTAGGATGACATCGTATTTCTTTTTAAATGAAACATTGTACAAGTTGACTTATTGTCTCACTTCCGCTTAAATCGAAAGTAGAGATATCGTAATATGGCGGGACCTGTGGCGTAGATAGCATAGTGTCATACATTTTGACAAATTGAAAGCAGGAAGATGTGAAAATAAGGGCTATTGATATGAAAAACAATAAATACTTGTTAATATATTTATTCTTTAAAACACGGATTAATAGATAATAAGGTTCAAATAAACGCAAAATACCTTTCATTTGTTTAAATGACAGAAAATTCTCCTATGTTCTACTTCAATGCTATTTTTCCCAATTGAACCGGTGGCAGACCCTTTCCCAATGGGTAGAAAAAAATCGCTGTGTTCATTGCAGTTTGAAGAATGCCCTCATATGAAAGAACTCGGCAGCTGGCAAAAAAGATATTGTCTATTGCCCATATGGCAAGCCCAAACAAATTTAAAGCACCACACAATGGTAGAACTGTTTTGTGTTTCAACCAATTCATGTGGATTTGTGTACATAAAATAATTCAATAAAATAATTTTTTTAAAAATCGTACATACCGACCCTATTTTATTTCAGCATGTAACAGTAAACAAGCATGTATTTTTGTTTGGCCTTAATATATCTGAATGAAATAATTATGCACATTTGAGAGTGGGAAATTAATAAACCTGGTGAGACTGGAATTAACTAGTTTACCACTATGTTTGTCAATGCAGGTATATCACAACACTTTTGTTGAATGTGCAAGTCATTTCTATTTTCCTCCTTATTTTTCTTTTCTCTACTTATTTCTGTTTTTCAAGGAAACTCAATTATTATTAATTGGATAAACATGTTTGTTATTAGGATCGAGTCAACTTGATTCTGGTTCACTTCTAGTTCCATGACATATTTTCTACCACGGTGTCCAATGGTTATAATAAAGCAGTGAATTATTAATATTTCCATTTCTATTTGTTTTCTCTGTGACAACTCTTTGAAAGTTAGGAGAGTTGATTTCTTGATCATTCTAACGGAATGCAAATTTCGCCAAGCGAAAGGTCAGGAGCTAAGAAGGCCTAATATGCATGTAATTCTCGTGCGGCTGTCTTTGTGTCAGACTCTAAGGAGGCCTAATATGCATGTAAATCTCGTGCGGCTGTCTTTGTGTTTGACGTCAGTGGGCGGGGACTATTGAAATTAACATGTGAGGCCTCGTGTAATTTAAATCTATTAGTCTACATTTTTAAAATCTAAATTTACAATTTTATTTCAAAATGAAATGGAAATATAAGGAATCACTGTCTAGTTAGTAGAGTATGCCAGGGACATCAACGATAGTTGGAAACGTGGGATAATTTATGCATAACGGGCTTTGCCCGTTATGCAAATTATCCCACGTTTCCAACTATTGTTGATGCCCTGGCATACTCTACTAACTAGACAGTGATTCCTTAAATGTATATTATCATGATTATAATATAGATACTATAATACTGTGCCACACTGTGCACATACTGTATGTTGCTAGTGGGTTTATAGATTTACCACTTAACATATTAAACCAGCCCATCTTATATATATTATATATCATTACAAATAAAAGATGAACTGGTTTAATATGTTAAGAGGTACAATCCATCAACCCACTAGTAACATATGTGCACAGCATTATAGTATCTATATTATTACATATAAATGTACTTATTAAACCTGCTTAGTGCTTAATTGTTAGATTACGAGATCCGTTAATTACCATTTTGTTGTTAGTATTTATAGTAGTCATTGACATTGACCATAGGATGTGAGTGAGATTTTTCTGGATGACTACCTATACCTGTAATATCATGTGAGACAGTTTTATGCTGGGATGCATTGATTTATGGGTTATTACACAGGTAATTTCTAAATATTGAATGAGGGAAATTCTGGACATTGTAATATTAGGAAATCTGGACATTGGCCTGTTATGAAACTTGTTATTGTGTAGATATCACTTATTTATCAAAGCATGATCATTATATGACTATAATTCTGTAGGATAACCAGAGAGTGATATAATATCTTGAAGATGTTAAATGATGATTGTAGCATTGTCACAAACAAAGCTATCCTAACTATTGAACCATTGTTCACAAGTATCTTTTACATGCAAATTACCTAAAGAAAATTCAATCACAACTATTAAATGCGTGTGTAATGTATCTCGTGAGGAGAAAATGTGTCGGACAGGATTCGAACCCGGGCCCCCTGAATCACTTAATGTCAGGTGCTCTACTGAGTTATCTGGCCACTGGTGATCGAATCTGCTTGACTGCCACACATATATATGCAATTGATCATGTTCATCCTTTTTGTTGTTTAAGTGCAACTAAAAAGTAATACAACTGACTGAAAATGACAAAAAATGTTTGTGCCCTATAGTCTAGCAGTGGCCATTCATAAATATTTCTTAACTAATTTTGGTACACTGCATGTGTACAGTGGTGAGAATTGATGTATGTATATATTTCCAGTCATCTATTAACAGGATAAAGTTGAAAGTTCTTGCAAGCACCTCTTCTTTAAGTTATACCTGCATATCTCAAACACAATGGGACTGTGGCAAAAACTAGGAGGTACCTTAAAATTTTAGATAAAGCTGGAATTCAGTTTCATGATATTTGTCTATGGGTCGGATACATTGAATCACTTCATTATACCTCTTTTATTCCATGTATCACACAGCGTATCATTGTTTGGGATATCGATGATCCACTTTACCTAACTAATAAGTTTGGATGCCTTACCAAAGGTCTCTAAACTCTTTATAAACTAATGAAGTTGAAAATGTGTGATAAAAA